GACCTGAGATTCAGAGCTCTGAGGAATTCTGTCCCCTCATGTCAGCAGAACAAATAAACCCTGCCTCCAATTACCCGTTACACAGTCCATTTGAGTTCAAGAAAGAGAGAGCTCTCTCTTGCAACAAGTTTTAACATTATGGGGCAAAGACTAAGGTGAGTGGTCTATTTTTCTTTCCATTCTAATACTCGGGGAAATCTCCAAAATCCATTCAGTTGACCAAGAGAAAAGATTGTTTTTCTAGACTGAAAATGCTGATGTTTTTGACCTCAAAATGTTGTCTTCATTTTCTCTCACAAAATAACTTGCAGTCAAATGGGACCAACTGCCTAAACTATTCTGAATGCTGCATCAGTGTTTGGGAATATCAGGATAGATCATCATCTGGTGTCAGTTGTCACGGATACATCAGCATCAGCAGAGCTATGGTGATTTATACCAACCAAGTATCTGGCCCATTGTGCTTTAATGAGTTAAATGATTCCATACACTGTGCAAATGCAAATGAATATAGTATGTTTAAAATTACCCCTTGGTTTCAAAGAATCTTGTTTAAGGGAGGGTTTTTTTTTTTTTCTAAAAATGTGTTTCATTTATTTGAATGGTTTCAGAGGAACAGCCGTGTTAGTCTGTATTCGCAAAAAGAAAAGGAGTACTTGTGGCACCTTAGAGACTAACCAATTTATTTGAGCATGAGCTTTCGTGAGCTACAGCTCACTTCATCAGATGTTTACCGTGGAAACTGCAGCAGACTTTATATACATACAGAGAATATGAAACAATACCTCCTCCCACCCCACTTTCAGAGCCAACCTGCTAGGGCCTCCATAACAGCCAGGTCCCTACCAAATTCATGGCTCACTTTGACTAATTAAAAACCCTCTGGCCTTGAAATTGACCAATGTCTCCATTTCAGATGTTTCCATCTGACATTTCATGGTATTGTCACTGTGAGGGTCCCGACCAAAATGGGGGAATAGGGGAGTTCAGTGGTTGTTGTAGCGGGGTCACAGCATTGTTGTAGGGGGGTCACTTCTGTGCTGCTGTCAGACCTGGGCTCTGAGGGAAGCAGCCACCAGCCTTTCTGAAGCTAGAGGAGTTTCCCAGATATGGAGGGGGGTCCCTGTTGCTGGGAGCACCTCAGGAGGGGGCTCCTACCTACTACTGCCCTGGCAGATTAATGCAAGGGCCTTGGCCAATTTGGGGGCATCCAGAAAAATGGACACCTGAGCCCCAGAAGGAACAGCAAGGGAAGCCCTGAGCCCCAGCTGCAGATGCCAGGCAGAAGACCTGAGACCAGGCACCGAGAGCACCAGCAGGAATGGAGCCGGGGGGCATGAAAGTCCTGAGCTCAGTGCCCCAAACCTGGCTGCAGCCACGGGGGTCAGAAGCCCTAAGCCCAGGCACCCAGAGACATGGCTGGAGCAGAAGCTGCCAAGGCCAATGCCCTGAGCCCAACGCCAGGCTGCTGCAGTGTCCTTGCTTCTGCATGCCTCTGGAGGTCCATCTGATATCCCCACAGACAGTCCTGTCCCCAGCCTGGCAGACAAAGAGCTAGGAGGCCCCTCCTGGGTTCTCCTGGCTGTGGGGATCCCAGCAGGACAGAGAGATCAGATTTCACGGGGCAGGGCTAATTCACTCTAGCCAAGAAAGGCCCAACAAGAACCAACGGCTGTCAGCTAAAGCCAGAGAAATTCAAATGAGACGTAAGGCACACATTTTTGACAGTGAGGGAGACTAGCCACTGGAACAAATTACTCAGGGAAGAGGTGGATTCTTTGTTTCGTGGTGTCCTCATCTCACAACTGGGTGTCATTCTGTAAGGTGCCTTTTACTGAATTACAAGCAATTGGGCTTAATGTGGTGTTAAGTGTGTGAAATTTCATAGCGGATGAAAGAGAGCCCAGAAGTTGTTGAAATACTCAGCCAGATTTTGGCAGCAACAGTCTCTTCTGCAGGTGCAGAAAGAATATTTTCTTCATTTTAGTTGATGCAGCTACTTCATTCTAATTTAAGAAACTGATTGGGAGTTGAAAAAGGATGAAGGTTTCTTTTCCTCTTGTAATGTATGAATAAACGCTAATCGGAAGGAGATATGAGCTACGGCTTCTAAAATCTGGAAGGACGTTTATGACCAGGAATAATCAGTTCAATGCACTAACGAGAGATACTTCTTGTCCTCAGTTTGTTCAAAATGAAAAAAAAAATGTTTCAATCAACTTTTCTGTTTTTATGTATCCTGCAAAACCAACAAGTCAACATGTTTTTATGGGTTACCTATTCATAGAAGACTGGGGCTGGAACAGACCTCAGGAGGTCTTCTAGTCCACCCCCCTGCTCAAAGCAGGACCAACCCTAACTTAATCATCCCAGCCAGGGCTTTGTCAAGAAAAGCTTTAAAAATTTCTAAGGATGGAGATTCCACCACCTCCCTAGGTAACCCATTCCAGTGCTTCTCTACCCTCCTAGTGATTTTTTTCCCTAATATCCAACCAAAGCCTTCCACACTGCAACCTGAGATCATTGCTCCTTGTACTGTCATCTGCCACCACTAAGAATTTCATAAGAATCAATCTTTCATTAGAAAAATAACTCAAAAATACAAATAAAAACATTTGAATTAAATCATTCCACCCTGATCTTTAGTGTCTGGGGGTGTGGGCCTCTGAGGCCAGACTAAGACCCTCATTGGCTAGAAACACCGAGGGAGCCAGTAACAAATTCCAGCCCTGTTAGCATCCAAGCCTCCATAATCCAAGGGACACCTGAAGGCTGTGGGAGACAGAGGGGCACTGAGAATTTCTAACTCATGATTGCAACCACAGAGATGTGTTTGTGGCACCTTAGAGACTAACCAATTTATTTGAGCATGAGCTTTCGTGAGCTACAGCTCACTTCATCCGATGAAGTGAGCTGTAGCTCACGAAAGCTCATGCTCAAATAAATTGGTTAGTCTCTAAGGTGCCACAAGTACTCCTTTTCTTTTTGCGAATACAGACTAACACGGCTGTTACTCTGAGAGATGTGTTATTAGCTTTGGATGGGGGACAAGTAGCAAATCCATCGGTATTCTTGCCCCAAACAACAATCACTCATTGTCCTTTTGAGCACAAGGCCTTAACACACCTGACATGCTTAAATCTCTTGTCTGCTAGGACTTAGAGAATTTTCTCCATCTCCATGATACAGAGGGAAAGAGAAAAGAAGTGACCTCTCTTTGGTCACACACCAAGGTTATGCTAGAGCTAGAAAGAGAAGCATAAGAAAAGAGTTGTGTCAAAAATGTTTTGCATTTAAAACTAACTGATTTTTTACACAAAGGAAATTTGAAGGGTGGTTAGTGAACTGAAATGATACGTTCTGGTCTCCATGTGTTTCTAGATTTATGAACCCGTAGGTCCATCCCCTCACACCTAGCTTTTTATCCATGGATTGAGGGAGAAAAACAAGTTCGCCTGGTTTTTTGAACTCCCAATGGCTTTCTTGAATTTCAATAAACTTGTCAATTGAACTGAACTATTCGAATAAACTGAAATGAAGAAAATATTTTCTGCACCTTTCAAAGAAGCTACAGCTGTCCAAAGTGGGTTAGCATTTCAGCTAACTTTGCTTCCAGGGACCTAGCTATCACGACAGTGGTGTGAATGTCTTAAAAAGTTGGCAGTGAACATGTTCCACTTCATGTTACATTTTCTCTTCCTTTTACATTATTCAAGAGATTGTCATAAATTTCACCCTTAACAAAGGTTGTTAATCACAAATTTAATTTTAAATAGATGAATTTTTTTTTTATCAAGCTGGGCCTTACAAATCTCTAAGGATGAAGATTCCACCTCCTCCACCAGTCAGACTCAGGGCCAGGGAGTCTGGGAATAGAGGAAAATCACCAATGAAAACCAGGAGTCCAGACTCCCAACCCCCTGCCTCTGTCACTACAGCAGGTCACACTCAGAGCCAGGGAGACTGGGAATCGCGTCCTGCTGGCACTTTCCAGCGCTGGAAGGGAGTGTTCCTCTAGTGGTTAGTGTGGGAGCCTGGACAAAGGACTCCTGGGCTCCCTCCCCGGCTCTATCCCTGACTCCCAGTGCGACTCTGAGGCAGTGGCTTCTCCTGCCCAGGCCTCTGTTTCCCTCACTGGGGCTGGGGACACTCCCGTACAGCCCATGGGTCGTCACGCTTCAGGAATGTGCATGAGGTATGAGGAGACCTAGAGATGGGAGGTGTGCTGCTGGCCGTAGGTCATTGTTTTGAACCCCGGCTGCTAGCCTGGGTTTATCCATCCCCTGACAATAAAACATCATCTTGTTTGCACAGCCACTTTGATCTCCTGGCTTCTACCCCCTGCTCTGCTGGCAGGGCATTGGGCAGCACCCTTTCCAGCCCACCTGGGTGTAGGAGATTGAGGAGGAGGGCAAGAGACTAAGCATCGGTGAGCATCTGCCACCCAGCTCCATCCCATCTAGAGCAAGTGAGTGGAGTTCTCCAGAGCCATCCCCAGTGTGGTGGGAATGGGCCAGCAAGAGGGCTCCCAGCCCTTCCCTTGCAGGAGACTGTTCCCCACGTCAAGAGTCTTCGGGGAGGGCAGAACCTGCCAGGTACTGAACACCCACAACCGCAATCAGTGAAATCAGTGGGAACTGAGGGCGACTCCTCCCTCCCAGCATTGGCACCTTGTGAACTTTCCCGGGGGACTGTCCGGGTGCTGCTCTTTCCCTGGCTGGGGAGGGAGCGGGGCCTGGAGGGAGGGAGGAAGCTGCTTGTCCAAACAAACAGATAGCCCCACTGCTCTTAAAGGACGAGACTTCCCCGGTGTCACAGGGCCCCAGGGGTGAGGGGGAACGTTGGGAGCAGCCTGTGCTGTGAGCTGCTGCCAGTGGGTGTGGACGGCAGCCCCCATGCCCTGGGGTGGGGTGTGTGGTGAGGAGAAATTGTCTCAGCGGAGGGGAGGTGGATGGAGGAACAGGCAGGCACATTAATGAGAGGCTGCCTTGAACCCAGACTCATGGCTGCTCCCCACTCATTCCCAGGATGCAGCGGCTGAGGCGGATGCTGAGGAGGAAGGCTGGGCTGGTGGCTCCGGAGCCGGTAGGGAGCAGCGGCCGGCTTTCCCAGGAGGAGAGCGGCCCCTCTGTCCCCGCGGGCGGGGAAGAGGCATGTGGCCAGGCGAGGAGGAGGAGCTCCCTGGCTTTCTGGAGGAGGAGGAAGACACCAGCTCCCATAGCAGGCCCTGAGGCACCTTCAGAGCCCAAATGGAGGTGGCCCAGGGTGATGCTATGTAGGAGGGACCCAGAGGTCTGTTTGTGGGTGAGGGGAGACCAGGGGACAGGGGGAGGACAGGGCCTTTGGAGACTAGTACCACCCTGTGCCCTTTGGCTCGCCAAGGCACCAGGACTGAGCCACGGGAGCCCAACTGACACCAGTGGGAGTGGCCCAGCCATGCCCTGCGGCAGGGGATGATGGGCGGAGTCGGGGGAGCTCCAGCCTCCCCCATGATGTTGGAGGGGCCTGACTGCCATGGGGCCCTGTGGCTGCTGGGGCTCAGGGCGTCTTTGGGAGGGGCAGGTTGGGGTGCTTTCTTGCAGAGGAGGGGGGAACTTGAAGCCTTCTCTCTCCACTGCATCCCCCAAGCAGCAGCAGGGATTATACTTTCTCCTTCCCTCCCTGGTGCAGAGACCCCCAGTGCCCAGCTGGAGGAGGAGGGTGTTGGGCACACTGGGGCATGGCCACTAGGTAACTCGAGGGGATGGAAGACCACGAGTGTCAATGAAGCCCCCTCGCACTAGGCCCAGGTGTCCTTAGCCCCCGCTCCTGCCTGGAGGCACTCGCAGCAGTTATGCTGAGAATCTGCAACAGTATGTTGCAGAGTCAGAGTGCCTGAAACTAAGCAAGGCCAAACAGGGCAGATATGGAAGAACAATGCTGAATAAAGCAGCTTTATGTATAGGTTAACAAATGATATAGAGAATCAGGGAACTAGCTGGGAACTGGATTGGCTGGCTATATGGATACTTGGGGCAGCTTGCTATTGTATAAGTATGCTGGGAAAAAGGATGTATAAAAGCCTGTGTAACTTCCTGCTCTGTGTGCAGGATTTGAGATTTTATTCTCCCTGTACCTTTTTGCAGCTGCAAATAAACTTTTCTGCTTCTCCACCCCGTTGTGATTATTGGGTGTAGCACACCGGGTAACGAACCAACTCAAGCTGTTGTTCAGCCTCTCGGCACTGGGTGCCGACAACAAGGGGGAGGAGGAGGATGTGTCCCCTGAACAAGCTACCATCAGGGCCATCCAGCAGCACCTCCAGGGCAGAGCTGAGGTACAAAAATCCCCCAGCTGAGCTGCCCCTGAGTCTGTCCTACCCCTTGTTCCATCCCCACCCATACAGGGGGGTCTTGTCCCAGAGAATCCATCACCCCGAATAGGAGGCACTTCTGGCACCCTAAAGTGGGGGTGTTCGTCCCACACAGGCCAAGGTGTCCACTCCCCGCAGACACTGTCCCAGTTACAACCCCGTCTGTTCAGGGCAACACTGGTTTTGGGAAGTGGGGCAGCTTTCCCTGTCCAACCCCATGGGGGTCCTGAGCCCTGGAGCTGGTGTAGGTGGCGTGGGGAGGTCCCTACCTGACCATCTCTCTCTCTCTCTCTCCCCACCCCACCCCAGCCGGCCACACTTTCCCAGAGCCGTCAGCGCAGTGCAATGTTGGGACCCTTCCGCCATCCGGGGTAGCAGTGGCGGGGAAGGGGCGGGGGCAGAGGGAAGGAGCTGGGACTGTCAGCCAGAGCTCTGCACGGTTCCATTGAGCACTAACAGTGAGCACCAGGCCTGGCTGGGGACTGAGAGGCTAAAACCCCTGTGAGGTGCAGGACATGGGCCTCTGAGAAAAATTACTGGCTCCTTTCTAGGGAGACCCTGAGATACAGGAGGAGCCTCAGGGAATCAGCTCTTCTCTCCTAGGGACATGGCAGTTCCTGGAGGGATTGTCCTCATGGCCCCTCCATCCATCCTACCAAGGCCTCTGAAGCTGGGGTCTTGGGGTCCGGGGCATGTGCCTTGATCCTGATGGGCTGTTCATGAATCGGGGGTTCAGAGCAAATAGATCAGCCCCAAGGCTGAGCTTTGTCCCAGCCTGGAGAGACAATGACAGCTTGTGCCCAGCAAGATACAGGCAGTGTCATGAACCCCCTTTTCAAGCTCTGCGACCAGGGGTCAGCTATTCCCCCCTGAGCACAAGGTCTCCGCCCCATGAGGATGGGGAGAGGCTTGTTTGTAGAGCATGTACGCCTGCCCGCTGACCCTCCTCCTCCTCCCGCAGCATGTCCATTTCTGGTTCCACCCCAGAAACACCCAGCAGAGAGCTAGGACCATACAGAGCAGCGCTGCCCTGCTCTGATTCGCCACCTCCCTCCCCGGATTTGCTGCAGTTGAGCATTCACAGCCAGAAGAGAGACAATGGGAAACTCGCTTAGTTGGCTTGCCACAGCAACAGCAGCAGTCTCATAAAGCTCCGCTCTTGATCTAGCCAACAGAGGCAGGACAAAGAGCCACACAGGGAGAGCCTGGGCTGCAAGGAGCACTGTGCTGTTTTTCAGTGGATTGTGCTGCCCTGACAGTCTATTTCCTGTAAAGTGCACATCCAGCCTCCCTGGGTGACCTCAATGGAAGTTAGGTGCTCTGTGCCCACAGGCTCAGTGCTCAGTATGCTCACGCAACAACCTAGCATGCAAAAATGGATCATGCTAGATGCAATGGTCCAAATAGTTAAAAACCTGTCCTCCCTGTTTGTCCCTGCTGTTTTCATGTTTGCAGTTAAAGGAAGCCGGATATCTAGCTACTTGAGAGCCCCCTTGTTCCAGTCAGGCAGAAGATCAGTTGCACACAAACCCTTATAGGGAAAAGATGGATTTTTAACCTAAAGCCCTACCCCGTTCAGCCACGTTTTCACAACTTCACAGGTGAGGCAGTGTAAGAAATGGCTGTGCCTTTCGCTTAGGGTTCGACTCACTGTGGAATGGCACGTCACATTACCCAGTGTTGGAGAACTGTGGACTGAAGGGCCTATTAGACTGCAGAGTGACCAGCAAATTAAACCGGAGGTGATCTTGTAAACATAAAGTATTTATATTAACGAAGAAGCCAACCCCTGCCCAAGTTCAGGTCTGCTTTGTGTTTAAAAACTAGGTAAAATCCAATGCATTCAGGCGAGCACGGAGCTGCTGCTTAAATCATCTAATCTGGGCTTTTCAAAGGAATTTTTTGAAAGTTAGTTGTATTGATCCATCTGAAATTAAGTGAGAGATAGGCACCCACCTATCCATGGCATTCACCTATTCAGCAGCATAACAACTATGCACCTCACAACCTTGAATGAATTTAGCCTCACTACACCCCTGTGAGGTCAGGAATTATGACCCTCCCCTTTCCACTAATGGGTAACTGAGGCACAACGAGACAAAGCAAGTTGTGAAGGTAACTCAGGAAGTCTTTGGCAGAATCTGGGTCTACCAAATCCAGAAGTAGCACCTCAGCCATGGGAACATCCTTATGCCTGACTCCCTTACCCTCCTCTGAATATCCTCATCCTAGTTTAGGCTTTTTTCACTGCAGTTTCATGTTCCTCCCATACATTAGTCATTGTCTTTAGACTTTAAAGACCTAAAAAGACGTCTGTGCCAGCTTTAGATGAGTAGAAACACAATCCACAACAAAACAGCAAAAGCAAGTGCAGTGGCCACCTCAGCCAACACAAAACACGTCTGGACAAAAACGTACCCTCACCTGGTCTCCTGAAAAAGATGTAGAGCTTTTGTACACAGGACTGGTGGAGCTAGATCTGGAGATGGTATCAACTGGAATAGCCTGAGGATCTGTAAATCAAGCACTTTAATACTTTTTAAAGAGTCTATTTTGTTTTAAGTCTTTGACAAATAAAAAAAAGACATGGAGAACAATCTATGCACATAAATATTCTTTCCGTTCTCCTGGGATGTGCCTTTTGCTCAAACTGCCTCTCCTGGGCAACTTCTTGTTACTTTCTGATTCAGGCTACATTTGCTCACCGATGGCTGTGCATGTTGGCTGGCCCTTTGGGGAGCTGTCTCCCAACCCCAGGACTCTACATATGCAAAAAATCCAGCTCCCTTTCTGGGGTTACCCTGTGTTGCCCCCTCCCAGCACGGAGTCCTTCCCTGCCCCCTTTTCCTCTAGGGCTATGGTCTGTGCTCTCTGGGATAAGAATGTCTACTCTTTGATCAGAGATACTTTTTCCCAACAGTTTACACTCCAGCCTGGGGGAAAATCCTGGCAAACTAAAGCTTGATTCCCAGGAGACTATTTAAAGGCCAGAGCATAGAACAAACTCTGGAAGTCTGTGACATCTTCACGTTCTCCCACTTGGTCATAACTCATTGCCATTCTTCTTTCCTAGTTCCTGAAGCTATGCGTGGAGACACTTACAAACCCCTTCCAGAGCTGGTAAAGATATGGTCAGAGGACAATTCCTTAACCCCTTTTTCTTTTCATGAGTTATCAACAAATTGGCTTTACTGTGTCCATCTTTGATTAATTAACTTTGAATCATTTGGAATAACAGAAAAATGCAATTTATAGCATGGTCTAGATAATACTTAGTCCTGCCATGAGTGCAGGGGACTGAACTAGATGACCTCGGGAGGTTCCTTCCAGTTCTATGATTCTATTGGAGCAAACATGGCCAGCTCTGATTTCTATGGCTGTCTTTGTGCTGCACACTGTGGCCACTCAGAAGTGGACAACAATAAGGGGCAGAGAAGTGTTTCAAAATACCCCTTCAACTTGGACTAATCCTCTCTATTAGCTGTGAGCAGCATAGTGATCTATAACACATCTGTGCAGTGTTGATTGTGGCATATTGATAACTATTACTATAGTAACCGGTCATTTTAAATTTCAAGTTTTCCTGGCCCTGTCTGCAGCCTAGGAGGCTCTCTAAGGAAACTTATGATCACACTCATTCTGCAGAGAGCTAACTTAGAACAAGGTGGGGTGAGTTTTGCCGCTCTGACTTAAGGTATGTCTACACTGCACCACTGGTGGTGGTGTGTAGGGTATGCGTAGGTACACAATGCAGTGAAAAGAAGATTTTGTCCACACTGCAGTGTGTAGCTAGATGTGGAAGTGAAAGGCTCTGGCAGAGAGGAGGCAGTGACACAGAGTGACACTGCATTGCTAAAAACAGGAGTGTAGATGGAGGAGGCACTGGTTGGTCATGTGCAGAACCATGCAGGGTACATACCTTATGGGTTCAGGTGTGTGTTTACTCATCTAAGCAATGCCTCATCATCTACACTGCTATGTATACTGGTGCTAGGAGGCATGCCAGGTCAGGGGCTTTACATGCCACCCTAAGGAGTGTGCAGTGTAGACATAGCCTTTGGGAGCAGCCTGCTTTGTCTCTCCCTCTTCTGAGGTTCTTGTATGTTATTGTTCTGAATTCTAAAGAAGTAAAAGTGTTATGTTGCAACCTTCTGAAAGTGTATTTTAGGCTTTTATCTAACGTCTCTATTTGTATGCTGTGAACATCACACTGATTCCACCTAGTAGGGGTCAGGAGTATTGGTACATCATCCAGTTCACCACGAGAGTGGGCTGAGCACTTGGGAAGGTGGGGGTTACATGAAAGGTGTTTTATTTATTTAAAATAAAAATAGAGCTAACTGATACAATGCTATTCTACTCAGGATCTGATAGCATAGAACTTTTAAGTGATATAGCTGACTTTAGTGAATTGATATCATGCAATGCACATTGTGTGTTTTTGATAAACACCTAACACATCTGTGACCTGGAAGAGCCTTTACACTGTTTCCGGCGAGGCTGCTGGCATGGAATTCTTGATTCCACCCCAGCATAGACCCCTTTTTCCTATCACCCTTCCCCATTTGTTACTCGGAAGGAAGTTATGCTAGATTTTCCCTGAGTAATAATCACTTTTCTACTTAGCACTTTCCTTACAGCACATTTCACATCCCTGTTCCTCAGGCTGTAGATCAGGGGGTTCAACATGGGGATCACTATCGTATAGAACACGGAGGCTATTTTATCTGTATCCAGTGAGTACCTGGTGCTGGGTCGCAAATACATGAAGAAAATTGTCCCATGGAATAGAGTAACAGCTGTCAGGTGGGAGGCGCAGGTGGCGAATGCTTTACGCCTGCCCTGAACAGAACGGATCCTCAGCACAGCAATTACAATAAGAATGTACGAGATGATGATGATCAGAAACGTGCTCATTTCAAACAAAGTGCCACAGGTAAAGAGTAGCCTCTCGTTGACAGAGACATCACTGCAGGAGAGTTTCAGGAGAGAGGTGAGATCACAGTAAAAGTTATTGATGACATTGGAATCACAAAAGAATAATCTCTGCAAACTGCTTGTGTTTATCAAAGAGTTAATCAAGCCCCAGAAATACGACCCAACAACCAGCATTATGCAGACCCTCTTGGTCATGATGACCGTGTAGAGCAGCGGGTTGCAGATGGCAACATAACGATCATACGCCATCACAGCCAGGAGGAACATCTCAGTGGTGACAAACACAACAAAGAAGCCATATTGCGTAAGGCACCCGCTATAAGAAATGTCTTTGGTCTCCACTAAGAAATTGACCAGCATATTGGGAGCAATGGTGGAGGAATAGCATACATCTAGGAAAGACAAGTTGCTGAGGAAAAAGTACATGGGCGTGTGGAGTTGTGGGTCAATCTGAATTACCAAGTTCATCCCTATATTTCCCAGCAGAGTGATGAGATATATGAGAAAAAACGTGACAAAGAGAGGGACCTGCAGCTCCAGACGATCTGTTAATCCAACGAGAATGAACTTGGTCACTGTGGTGTGATTGTCTCCAGTCATTTGTCTAACTTCCTGGTTATCTGCAAGGAAAAAGAATTAATCATAATGCTTATAGCAACTGATTTACATGTATACAGCACTCTAGGCAGACTCTGGACTTTTGAGTGCCCCGTCTCCCTGTGAGTGCTGGAAATAGCTGCAAGATCTTCATAGACTAGACAAAAAGAAAAGGAGTACTTGTGGCACCTTAGAGACTAACCAATTTATTTGAGCATGAGCTTTCGTGAGCTACAGCTCATCACATCACATCTGATGAAGTGAGCTGTAGCTCACGAAAGCTCATGCTCAAATAAATTGGTTAGTCTCTAAGGTGCCACAAGTACTCCTTTTCTTTTTGCGAATACAGACTAACACGGCTGTTCCTCTGAAACCTGTCATAGACTAGACAGTAGACAAATTAAAACACTCTGGAATGCATAGCAAAGTATGATCCTAATGTACATAGTGAATCTGTAACCACTGGTTAGTATGTGTTATGTGTGTTCCATTCACTGCCTGATTTACAGGCAATGTGCTTCTGTTATAGTCCATTGCTTCAATGGCTAGTTCTTTAGCCAAGCTGTAGACACTCCTGCTTTGCATTCTAGAGAGTCCCAGTTCAGTGCCGCTTGTTGGTTAACATGGTAACTGAGTGAATTACTGTACCATCATCAATTGTATAATCACGTTGCATGCCTGAAATAGCATATTCTTATCAATAAATCTAAATCCTTCAATTGACAAGTTGTTAGAATCCATTGTGACTGCACAGTAGTTAATGCACTTACTCTCAAAATAACCCAGTGGTAGAAGGTGCAGAATTTGGCTGAGTGTCCCTTGAAACCATTCCCACGAAAAGTATGCTGCACTTCGTATGTACACAACACTGAGCACGTGAAATACAACAGCACAGAGTACTAATGAAAATGAGCTTGCATGTAAAATGATTTAGAAACAAATTACTATGTGAATTGTTTCAAAGACTATGACACTATCAGTAGTGTTTTGTTAATACACTTTACTGTGAAGGGGACATTTTCAGTTAAGTAAAATAACATGGAAAAAGACCTAAAAAGTTCTTTTCAAAAACCACCCAATACCCCAGATCCATCCAAGACTTAGTTCTTTGGTAATTTCTATTGAATAGGGAGGATCTGGGTTTCGTTATTTAGGGAGAAATAAATGGTTTGACACTGTGTTAAATTTTTAAAAGACATATTTTTAAATTCATTTTAACTCTGAAATTAATTAACAGATGCACTAGCAAATTCTCAGAAAATTCATTCTTTAGTCAGGGTGTAGTGCTGTCAATACGAGGAGGACATAGCTTAAATAAATACGTCAAGAGGCAACAACTGGACACAGACAGATTAATAGGGGAGTACAAGGAAACAAGGAGTTAATATGGTCAGCCTGAAAGGCAGTGACCTCAGCACACCACACTGAATCTCTGCTTGAGTGGAAGCAAACTCAGCCTTATCTGTCACACTACCTCCGTGCTATACAGTACAGACTTTGTACTTGGAGCACATGGACATTTTTTTCAGTGTTGCAGAAAAGTTAGTTTGTCATTTAGTTCTGCTTTACTGGTTAGAAATATATTGATGATTTTCATGTCAGTTGCATATATGACTATATTTTTCACTAAATCCTGATCTTATTAAAGACAAGCGGCAAAACTTTAAATGACTTCAAACTACCTGAACTCTAACAATGCATATGCAAAAGGCAAAAAGTTAAGATTGCACCTGTATGTTCAACTTTGCTGTTTCCTAACTCTTGTGTAACACTGGTAAAACTGTTTGTCATCTATGTAGCCCCTTCTTTGTTTAGGACCAGAATGTGATATACTGGTACCCATGTTGAGTCCAACTTCCCCTGATGTTTCATGGGGAAAACAAAGGAAGCCAAATCCCAAATATTTGGGGTGGGACATTTTCATTGTGGTGAAATTTGGAACCTAAAACCCTACAGATTTTAATAACATTTTTTCAATCCCAAAATATTTACATAGAGAGGAGGGGCACTGTTGTTTTGTTTTCCTAAAAATGGTGATGGTCATGGGGGAGGAGTGGGAGCTCCATGAAGTTTCCCACAAAATTTATAATTTAATTATCATTCACAATTATGTAAATTAATTATAATTTAAAATCTCCAACCAGCTCTAATGCTGCTCCATGACTCACCAATGTAAATGAATGGTGCAATATGAAGATTAAGTTACTTCCCAACAAGAGAGAGTGGTCTCAGAATCTTGTCCATCATGAACAATTTCTGCAATGTATGCTTCCTATTATTTCAGCTTTCCGGGCTTCTAGCTACATTTCACTTTGACTAACCAATAAATAAGATAAAATAGGGTTACACTAAAATGAAGATACTTCTAGCTTAGAAAAATACAGTGGTTTACCCCATTATTTATCCCAGTTTGGTTCAAATATATCCCTTTGAAACCTACCTGCTAATGAAAGCTGGCATTTACTGAAAGACATCAAAGGATTTACATTAGTAAAAGGACGGAGTTTTAAGATGAAGTGTTTATTGTTAGCTTATAAAGCCAAGACAGATTCCCTGGAGTTTTCAGATCTCTTGATGACGGACTCACCCAATTAAGTAACTAAGACTCATGTAGCAGACAGACATTTTGGGTACAGAATAATTGCCCTGAGATATATTGTTCTGTTGGGAGTAGGGGTTCAAGAAGTGATTTTTACTCCTGTGCCCACTATTTCTATTCCTGTTTTCTTTCACAAGGATAATTGATCTTCCACATTTGGGTGGAAGGAGGTCCAAAAGAAAGCTCCAATTTCTGATTCTATTCTATATAGACTTACATTACCATAATATCTGAGCATCTTCCTGCTGTGTATTGAGTGACATCTTTGTTCTCATCTCTTCTCCCCATTACTCCTGGGGGAATTCTGCACCATTGAACAATGCACAATTCACACCGCATTGATATTCTGTGCAGAATTTCCTCCACACCCCTCTCCCGCCCACAATTTGGCATTGTAGAGCAGCTGGCTGCCACTCGGGACCACTGGACCCAGCAGAGCCCAGCTCCCAGCTTGCACATAGGAGATACTACCAGGGTAGGGAGATGGAAATGAAAGGTTCCTGGCACACCCTGAAAGAAGGAGGTGACATGCAGGGAATTCCATACAAGCACAGGACCCAGCTCAGGTTCTTTCTCCCTCAGGATCCCTGGGCTTTGGAAAGGGAGGGGTGTGAGTGTCTTGGCTGGGAAGGCTGCAGCTGGGCTCTGGGGGACAGTAGGGAGTGCAGGTGTTCCTTCTTTTGCAGTCAGCGACCTTTCTAACACAACTGTTGCGGCTATATATTTCATAAGCTTGACTATTGAAAATTTGTTCTGTCCCCAAACCACAATTTGTCAAGCACACTTGCACCAACTGTGTTTTCCCTTATTTGGCATATAATGTAAGCTTTTAACAGTTGCTCTGCCTTATTTGGAATACAGCAAAACAAGCTTTTCCTGTTATTGACAGGTTTGTTCTTTTGCTGTTAACAGTCTTTCCTAACTTCTAGCTCCTACGGTTCCATTTCTTAAGCTGTGCTGTTGTAACTGCCCTGCAATGGAATTTTCCTCACCCTCTTCTTATGCTCTGTATACACAGTTAGCTTGACCAAAATTTTAGGCCTATAAGTTTAGACCTGCTAGATTTTTCTTCCACATTCCCCCCTTTGGTGCCTTTCTTTGGCACCACTAATTGGGCCTAAACTTCCATAGCCATGAGCCTGTTAATTTGTTTCGTTCTCCTGTTCTTCTGCCCAAACTGTGTCATACATCTCATTTACAATCATTAGTGCCACCTGCTTTCTTGAATTGAGGTTGCCAGGTTTAGGGCTGGACAGGCAATGGTAAATACATCTTTTATAGTCACAATAACACAATCCTATGCTAAACAGCAGTAAAAGCAACAACATTCCCATGGCGATAATATGATGTGCTTGGGATTGTAGACTAGCTTTAGTTACAAAACATGATACATCAGTTTTGGTATACAAAGTAGACATTTTATAGGCAGTATAAAAGGCATTTTTTTTCGGCTTGATATATATTTTGCAGTATGTGAATTTGTCCCGGGAATTCGGAAATTTTCTGAAGTTCAGGTAAGATTGAAAGCAAATTTTGGAATCCATCAGGTACTAAAGCAGTCCAGTTAAAGGGTATCTGGAACCTGAGGGCTAATTGTAGAGTTTTATCTGCAGGCCAGTAAATGATATGATTGCCTGCGACTGTGGTGAGATTAAAATGTACATCATTCAGGGTAGTGGTCTCAACATGCACACAACTATTATTAGCCTGGAAAAGTAGGTGTCCTGTCAGGGTATTCCCGTGTCCCATACCCTCCCAACAAATTTTGTCATGGACAGAGACAACCTCTCCTGGTTTTAGTTTACATACACACTGAAGTTGGGGGGGTTCCAATGGCCAGAGTGTCCATTGGCTTCCAATCCCTTCCCAAATGTCGGGCATTACTCCAGGAGCACTGATTACAAATCGGTTGGGCATACCAGGTAGTTTAAGTTCCCAAACGTCTCGGTGAATTATCCTATCCCACATGCATCCTCCCCATGGGCCCGAGAGGATTCGGTAGGTGGGAGTTCATACCCCTCTGACCGGCCTGTATGGTTGGAAGGAGCACTGTGGATGTCTACATTTCCACTCAGAAAATTTCCAAGTATGTCTCCACGGCCACAGATTAGATGGAACTCCTGAGATATCTGTAAGGGCAGTAGGCCATGCCTGATGTTCAAGATCCCTCTGAATGGCCATAAGCTGGTCATTCAGAAAATCCTGAACCTCTGAACAAGCCTGATTCCACTGCAATGCCTTTCCAGTGTTGGCGATACCCACTACCATCTCTGTTAACAGCTTTTGGGTCATTGAACTAAGGGCAGAGACAACAGATAATTCACCAACACCAGCCTGAACCTAGGCTAGCTGTGCTCCAGTAATAAGGCCCATGGCTTTTTCCAGCTATCCCAATTTTTCCTCA